TCTCCAAAATTGCAACTTCTTGAGTATTTACAACCCAATGTCCTCACTTGCTGCTAAATCTCAGTAGAAAAAAGAAAATGGTTTGGAAATGGCTATTGCTCCAGTTTGCATGAGCTGCCAAGAAACTGGATTGGATGAGACCAGTTTGCTCCAGAAACATGTTGGGGATGAAGCAGCTGACGTTTCAAATGGGTTAAATGAACAGACCTACAGTAAATTTACATATATCATAGGTGTCTAACTAATTATCAAGTAAAAGTCTAATTTTAAAACTTAAAACTTCATCATTATGGAAAAAGTACCAGCTGCAAAGTTTTACTTCTTTTTAAAAAAATATTTTTTGAGTCTCTGCTTGTTCAGAAATGTCAATGTGTATAAATGTCAACTAATAATTGAACATTTTTGTAACTGACTGCACCCAGACTAACAGTCCCCTTTAACACATACTGCTCATAGGACACCATCACCAGACCATAGAAATCTGGCAAACAAATACCCTGCATTTATCAATGTCATTTTATAAAACACGCTGACCCAAATGCTACTGATTTAATAAATAAATTGCAGTGACTAATGTGATTCTCCAGAAAAAAAAAAAAAAAACATTTTGTTGTGGAGTTTCTTTTCAAAGAATGTGTTTTGTTTACCAATTAACTTTAAAACAGGCTGTGATTAGTAGAAAATATGCAAATAATAGTTTGCAGATTATAAAGCGGTAATAGTGCTGCAGTGATAGCTGGTAGGTTTTGAGCTACAATGTAGGTCAAACCCCAAATCTTTTTCCGCTTAAGTTCCCATAAAACCTTTTCCTTACGCTGCATCTACCAAAGGATTTAACAATAAAAAAAAAAAATTCTAATCAGCAGACTTTTTATATATTCATAGTAGACTATCTAATGTTATTGAATTTACAGTATAAGATTAAACCTTTTATGTTTTTTTTTTTACATATATGTGTTGATTTTCTGAGAGGTTAAACGGGGGGGGTGGAACTGTAGTACAGGCAACCCACATCTGGCCATCAGATCCAACATTTCACAGAGGGTTCCCCTTCTTCATAGTTAAATTAAGATGGACAATCTGGGCTAATCAATAAAAAATGCTAACAAATATAAAAACTTCAGCTAAAAATAAAAACATTTCAGCTTTTTAATATAAAAACCTTCAGCTTTTATATGCTCTCATGTTTGTCGTAAGATTGGCGGTTTGAAAATGTTTATTTCAACATTGTACTTACATATACATATACAAAAGTTAGGATCCAAAGTTTTTCTTTTTTTCATTAAATTGGTCCAAACTAATATAACGTTTTTTCTACTTTACTATCAAAAATCTGATTTATTTAAACCAAAAATGTGCTCCATTCCAAGTGATACACTTTAGCCAGAACTTGACACACTGTACTTCACATTCTGTGCTCTTCAGTGAAGCTGAACTATAGACACTTCTAAAAAAAAAGTTGTGAAAGGTTAACAATTTGTCTGCTTTTAATTAACTTTAAAACCGTTTTCCATTTTTTCCAATAAAGGTAATTATGGTTTATTCTGTCAGTTAGGAAATGTATGAAGGCCTCATGTGGATTTTTAGTGCCCTCTAATGGTCAAGAGGATTTTTAATGATAGATTATGAACAACTTTTACTGTACCTACAGTTTAGGATCAGGATCAGAATTTCTTATGTACACAATTTATTTTGCTTGCTCTGCTTTGCATATCTAAAGAACAGAAGCTGGTATACAATTAGTTTATTAAACTAAAAATGCATCTTTAAGAGAAAAAAGGTCACATTAACTCAGTGGCCAAAATGGTGAATGCTGTGACCTATATCACTCTATTGAACATTACTCACTTACGCTCTAGTGTGAAACTTGTTGCTGCAAATGTACAGGTGCTGGTCATAAAATTAGAATATCATGAAAAAGTAGATTGATTTCAGTAATTCCATTTAAAAAGTGAAACTTGTATATTATATTCATACATTACATACAAACTCATATATTTCAGATGTTTATTTTGTTTAATTTTGATGATTACAAATGACAACAAATGAAAATCTCAAATTCATCATATCAGAAAATTAGAATATTGTGAAAAGGTTCAAAATTGATGGCCCCTGGTGCCACACTCTAATCAGCTAATTAACTCAAACCACCTGCAAAAGCCTTTAAATGGTCTTTCAGTCTAGTTCTATAGGCTACACAATCATGGGGAAGACTGCTGACTTGACAGTTGTCCAAAAGACGACCATCGACACCTTGCACAAGGAGGGCAAGACACAAAAGGTCATCGCTAAAGAGGCTGGCTGTTCACAGAGCTCAGTGTCCAAGCACATTAATAAAGAGGCGAAGGGAAGGAAAAGATGTGGTCGAAAAAAGTGTACAAGCAAGAGAGATAACCGCACCCTGGAGAGGATTGTGAAACAAAACCCCTTCAAAAATGTGGGGGAGATTCACAAAGAGTGGACTGCAGCTGGAGTGAGTGCTTCAAGAACCACCACACACAGACGTATGAAAGACATGGGTTTCTGCTGTCGCATTCCTTGTGTCAAGCCACTCTTGAACCACAGACAGCGTCAGAAGCGTCTAAAGAGAAACAGGACTGGACTGCTGGTGAGTGGTCCAAAGTCATGTTCTCTGATGAAAGTAAATTTTGCATTTCCTTTGGAAATCAAGGTCCCAGAGTCTGGAGGAAAAGAAGAGAGGCACTTCATCCACGTTGCTTGAAGTCCAGTGTAAAGTTTCCACAGTCAGTGATGGTTTGGGGTGCCATGTCATCTGCTGGTGTTGGTCCATTGTGTTTTCTGAGGTCCAGGGTCAACGCAGCCACATACCAGGAAGTTTTAGAGCACTTCATGCTTCCTGCAGCTGACCAACTTTTTGGAGATGCAGATTTCATTTTCCAACAGGACTTGGCACCTGCACACAGTGCCAAAGCTACCAGTACCTGGTTGAAGGACCATGGTATCCCTGTTCTTAATTGGCCA